AGGTCCTTTCAGATCCACCCAGTGGGGAAAGTGGGGCAGAGGCATGACGAGGCGCCACGTGGCACAAAGATGGAGATCCCTGGCATCTCAGAGGGTGGCCCCGGTCTTCATTTTTCTTTTAGGAGAGGGAGCCACGTGCAGGGACATCTGAGCCTCAGCAGCCTTTTCTAGCCTGTGTGTGCTAGGTGAGGTGGGGTTGGTGGGTGGATGGGAAGGGGACAAGGATAATTCTGCACTGAGCTGGGGTGTGGGAGGGCACAGAAAACTTAATGTTGGGTCACACTATAAGCCACGTGACTAAGCTTTGCCTGGCTTCCCTGCACTGACAGGTATCAGCCACTCTGCACACACCTACAAGAGACAAGGATGGGAAGTCATTCCATGAGGTCACTTAGAGCAAGTCTCTTATCCTACAGATGAGGAAACTGAGGCCCAGCTGGGGAAATGCCACGTTGACTTCCAACAGTGAGTAAGACATAGGCCTAGAACCAGAGCCCAGGCCTCCTCATGGATAAGGAAGAGCTAAAGATATGAGCAATCCTGGGTTGTGGATCTTTGGAAGACAATGAAGACTGCATGGATGGGCAAGGCCGAGAAGGGCAAAGGGCCCAGCTGAGGACGAGGAGGACAAGTCTTAGGAGAAGCAGATTTCCGTTTGGGAATGGGCTGTACGGGTGGCCCAGACGGCGCCCATCAGCTCAGCAGAGTGGTGGGCACCTCAGGGCAATCCCCAGAATGTCCACTAGGTGTCACCAAACAATCGTGGGGAGGCCAGGCATACCCCCAACCTCCTCATTAGGAGTCCAACAAAATTGGTTCACAGGCTCCAAGGTCTAGAGCCCAAGTGACATTGACACCTCCCCATTCTACAAATGAGGAAACTGAGGCCCAGCGAGGTTTAAATGATTTGTTCAAAGTAATGCAGGTACTAAATTTCAGAGGCAGAATTCAACCCCAAGTCCACTGACTTCTCTTTCCCTTGTACTAAAGAGGTCCTAGTAAGATTATGACTCCCCAACACAGACTCTCAGAGCTGGCGGGGGGGGGGGCACTTACTGACCTTCTTCCATTTGGAAGAAAGGAAAATGAGGCACAGGTACAGGTGATGTCAGTTACCAAGCTCATTCTAGGAATAGCAGGTCCACAGATGAGGCCTCGTGTGCACGTACATGTGCTTGTGTGTTCGTATAAAATGCTCTCTCTCTGTCCTCTCTCTCTCTTCTCTCTCTGTCTCTCTTTCTTTGTCCCCTTTCCCACCTCTCCCAAGCTCATAGCTCTCTCACTATCAGTGGGGTCCCCACAAGCCCCTTGGAGGAGCCGGGCCGCTGCAGGCCTTTCGTCTCCGACACCTGGGTACAAGCCCCCACATCTGGGCCACCCCAAGCCCTGGGGGTGAGTGGCTGGCCTCCCAGGACCCTGTGCAGACATTGGCACTGTTGTGTGGCTCCCTCCTGACTTCCCAGACTGCTCCATGTTAGCGCTGGCAGGCCCCCCAGAGCTCAGTGAGTTGGTCCCACCGTCCCCCAGGGCCTTGCCCCTGGCCCACAGACATCCAGGGCAGAGCTGGCCTCCAACGCCCACCCTGTTTCTCTGAAGGCTGGGCTGAGCCTCCGGCAGATGCCACCGCAGCCTACTTCAAGTCAGACTTAAAAGACATGCTTCTGAGGTCATTTCTTCCCAAGGAACTCAGCCAGACAGACTCCCCCTGCTTACTTTGGCAAATGCATTCTCATCTGGTCTTCAGCAGAGTTCCTTCATTGCCCAGTGATGCCCTCTAGCCCCCAGTTCTTGTCTGTTCACTGGCTCTGTCACAGGTCACGGTACTAGTGCTGAAAGGAACCTTGGCACCCATGTAATGTGAACCAATGCATTTAGTAGAGGGGGAAACTGAGTCTGAGGAATTGACTTGCCCAAGGTCACATGAGAAGAAGAAGCAGAGACGGGAGGTGAAGCCAGATCCTCCGACTCCAGCACTCTTTCCAAAGGACGGGGGTTGAGGATTGGGCAGTGACCAAAAACTGCGGGCTAGCACACACCCAGCAAAGATGACCGCCTCGGAATCGGGGAAAGCCCCCTCGGTCCCCTCAGGCATCTGCCACACACCCAACGGTCGCTCACCTCATCCCTCTATAGGACTTCGGCAGCAACCTCACCAATCCTTCCCGGAGGCGCCAACGGTCATCGCTCCATTCAGGGCTCTGCTCATCTCCCTCTCTTGCTTGGAAATTTGCTGTGGCTTCTCCTTACCTGTGGATAAAATCCAAAGTCCTTCACTTGACAAGCAAAGACCACTGACTTGTCTCTGAAAAGGGAGGAGAGGGCAGGAAAGGAGGAAGGGGAACAGCTCATGGTCAGCCCTCCCAGGCCGTACGCATAGACAGCCAGCATCTGCAACACTGACCCCCTTACTTAGCATTTCTGAGAGACAACGCCCACGGGGGCCCCAGGACCCAAAGACACCCCAGCTGCCAGGCCAGAGCACAAAGCACAGAGAATATGGTGCCCTGGCCCCACCCGCAGGCAGCCTAGGGCCCCCACTTCACCTGAGGTCAGCAAGAGTTTCGTGCTTATCAGAGGAGGCGAGGGAGAAACATCCTCCATCTCATCTCTGGCTACAACAGAGGAAACTCTATGGTTCCTTCTTCTGATCATGTGTGGCATGGTTTACAGCCTGTTTCCCAACCTGGAACCTTCCATATGGCTCCCCCTGAGAAAGAGGCCACCAAACAGGACCCTGGTCAAGGCTGGAATCACTCTTCAGATAAACCATGTGCTCACGGTGGGCAGGTCACCCGCGAGGCACGCTCCACTCACCCACCAGTGACCCCGCAAAATGTTCGTAGCAACAGCCACCAGAAGAGAGTGGATCCAAATGCCTGGGGGGAGGGAACCCCAAAGGACCCTGGTCTGAGAACCAGGAGACCTGGGTTCTGGAGCAGGCTCTATTACCAGCTGGCTGAGCCCCGGTTTCTTCCTCTGTAGGATACAGGTAGTGATGCTGGGGCTGCCCCCACCCCCCAGGGTTCACAGGAGGAAGGAGCATGGGAAAAGGCAGAGACACAGCGATGGGTTCAATGATTCCCTGGGCACAGGGAACTTCTAGGGAGACTGAGACCAGGGCCCCTGCACCGCAAGGGGTCACCTTGGGGAAGTCACTGGCCACTCGGAGCCTGGGGGCCACCCAGAGAAGGCTCTCTGGCATTCCTTCCAGCTTCTAAAGCTCATTGTTCCACATTCCCTGTTCTAGACTCCTTCCAGCCATGATGTCCCCTGCTCTGAGGCCCCTTCCATCTTGACATTTCTAGTCAGAACTGGGAAAGACCTCAGGACAGCGGATGTCAGGGCTGGGAGGGGCCTCAACACAGGGGATGTCAAAGCTGGGAAGGATCTTAGGACAGGGAATGTCAGGGCTGGGAGTGGCCTCAGAGCTGAAAGAGAATTTTCTCTGTACAAATGGGGAAACTGAGGTACAGAGCAAGCCATGAAGCTAGTAAGTGAAGAATACCATCAGAATTTAAGGCCTGAGTGACTTCCACTAAGGCTATGCCCACTGTTCCCAGGACCACCCCATCCTGCTTGCTGGTTGCAGAAAGAGGATGTCCAGGGGCATCTGATCAACGCCCAAAGCGTTCCCAGGCTAAATCTGGTGCTTTTGCCCGGGCAGTACCTGACAAAGGAAGGCTGGGTCAGGGCACCAGGCTGAGGGCTCTGGCATCGGGGCCTGGCAAGGGGCCTTTGGCAGAAACCCACTGACATCTGTTGCCCCGACGTTCTTTCGCCTTCACTGCACATTCCCAGGAGGCATCGCCCACCAAGCGCCTTTGTGGGCGCGGGCCTCTGGAGTGACTGCAGACAGAGGGGGATGAATGGAGACAGAACGGGGCAGTGTTTAAAATAGGACCGAGGGGCTGCAGGCCGGGGGTGGGGGCGAGGAGGAACAGGTGTAGCTGTGTCTGCGGCGGGCCCATCAAGGCAGCTTCTGTGGGACCTGGGGGCCGGCAGACAGCCTAACCTCATGGTAACCTCGACTTTGGCTCAGGGCCACCGGGACAGCTTCTGCAGGCCCAGCCCTTGGGGGGCCCATAATGCAGCCAGTGTCTCTGCTCAGCAAGCCGTGGGGACAATGGAGTCTGGAAGAAAGCGGGGGGGAGGGGGACAGGCATGGGTCGGAGACTCTGGGAGCCCGAGCCGCCTCATCTCCATGTGAAAATAGTCCATAAAATTAACAAGATGCTGGCTGGGAGGAGGGAAGGGGGCCGAGGACCCCACCTCCCGTGGAACCCCACCCCCGCCCCCTCCAGGGTTTGGGAAAGTCCAGTCCCGGCCTGGGAACCTGGGAGCATCCCACCCGAGTTCCATTTTTCACACAGGAAGCACCTAAGGCCCAAACAGGGCAAGGGCCTGAGGATGGGGCCTCTCGGCCCCTGCCCCACTTTTAAGGCAGAGTACAAGCCAGCGCCCGATGCCTCCTCCAGGTCACCCACTCTGACCCCACAGGGTGCAAGAGATGGGAGCAGGACCCCTCCCCACCTCTCTGTCCGTGGCCAGCATCCGGGCCTAATCCTCATCCCCCCTGCCCTCTCATTTCCACAGCCTCCTCCCAGGTCAGCCTGGGCCTGCCTGGACCCTGATACTCCCCCCAGGCCCCAGACTGGGCAGAACACACTTCTCCTGGGCCCCAAACCCTCCAGGGGCTCCCTCCTGTTGACAGAGGAAATTCAGACTCCAAGCCCCAGAAGCTTGGGAGCCCCGGCCTTCCCAGCTAGCCCACCACACTTGTCAGCTCTCTCACCTCCACGCCCCTCTCTCCCCTCACCTGCCGAGTTCCTGCTCAGATAGTGCCTCCTCCCAGGAACATGAGAGGCCCCTCCTGGGGGCAAGGCTGGCCTCAGAGCCCGGAACCCCCAGACTCACAACCCATCCCTGCCCCTTGTTAGCTGCGTGGCCTGGACGAGCTACTTCAGCTCTGAGGGGCTCATCTGTAAGACAAGGGGACTGGACTCAATGACCTTTCAGGCCCTCCTGGCCCCGACAGCCCACGTTCTAAGGCCCCTCCCAGCTCTGGCACTGTCAGTTCTAAGGAGGTCCACAGATGGGATTCGTGATCATGGAGGGGGGAAGACTGAACCATAATCCACTGTGGCCTAGTGGGCAGCGCACTGGCTTTGGAATCGCAGGGACCTGCCCAGCACCTACTGGGTTTGTGAACACAAGGAGCTCACCCCTCTAATTGCCTCCCTTATCCAGGTCTATAAAGGACAGACAAGTGGCAGCTACTTTCCCTAATGAAATCCAAGACCTAGGGATAAACAGTCACCAGCAGCAGCAGCACCTCCATGTACAATATTGTCCTTTCTGGCCTGTGACTGGAGTCTTCCTCGGATCCACTTGTGCTAAGAAGTTCACTACCAGGCATTTGCCCCTAACACCGTTGTTACGTCAGAGCCGCTCTCAGCTTTGCCCAAGCTGTGCTGAGCGGCTCCAGACGCACACGGTCACTGTGGCCAGAGTGGCCTTGGTGTTTAACTGCTCGTGGCTGGGGACCCACACTGCCATTATCTCTCCTGTGTCTAACACACAGATGATGATACAGGATGAATGAAAAAATGAACAAATGAATGAATGAGGTCTGCTACTGATACCTCCTTGTCTAACTCCTTTAGGATGCTGTAGTCGGGTCCACAGCCTCTGGGGGAGGGGCTCATTAAATGAAAAGTAGCATGGGGGGGCAGCCCAGGTCACTTATGTCACGGTGGTGGCGGCCACGGCAAGGCAAGATTTACTTTGCCTCTAGAGGGTAACAGCCCATCGGCCCCACCTAAGATCCTCCTTGTTCCTTGGTTACCTGTTTACTCTGTCACTCCTGGGCAACATAGGTGTTTACTTGGGATGGCAGCAGGCTTGAAATATTTCTGGTGTGTGCCATGGTCTGGGTTCCACTGCGCCAAGGGAAAGGACTGCTGAAAACCTCACTCCTGTGGAATGAGGCACGGTCAGGCTGTGGGAGTCTCTCGTGGGCACATGTCCTGAGAGCTTGGGTCTCAGAAGCCAGCCCTGCCAAGGCACCACTGGCAGCAATCCCATTTCTGGATCACTGCTGAATCCTACACACAAAGTACAGGTAGACAGCTCCATTGTCCCCCATGTTAGAGATGAGGAAACTGAGTCCCAGAGAGGGTACGAAGAACCCAGCAAGTCCTGGGCTCTTCCCATGTGAGAAGGCTACTGAGCGCGAGGGAGGGGACGATGGTGGTGGGACCAGCTCATAGGAGAACCCCTGCAGCAGAGAGAGGGGGGCTTTGTTCTGCATCCTGGGGTCTCCAAGGAGGCCTGGGGGCTCAGCTCCCAGCACCAGAAGGCAGGCTGCACCCAAGCCATAGGATCAACAGAGAAGCACAGAGTCCCTTGGTTACTTCCCTCCACAATGCAATACCTATCAATAATCCCTTAGGAGCCAGTGAGACCGGGTAGCTAGAGATCTGGCCTCATCACAATGAGGAAGACCTGAGTTCAAGTCCTACCTTGAGTAGTCAGGCTGGGTGATCCTGGGTAAGTCACTGGACCTCTCTGTGTCCTAGGCACTCAGTGGCAGAAGCACTCTGGTGCTCTCTCCTGGGCAGGGGCTAGGGCCCTGCATGGCAACGTCACAGGGAACAGCAGATTTCTTCAATGTGTCCATCGGTTTGACTAAATTTTTCTCTTCCTCTTGTTTTTTTAAAATTCTTTGCTATAAGGGATGGCTGGGGAGGAGGGGAGGAGGAAGGAAAAAGGGGAACCTAGGGGATGTAAAAACCAGAGACATCAACAAAAATCTAGTTTTTCCAAAGATCTGCTGTGGTAGAGGGAGCTTCCTCACTGGGAGTGCCCTCTGCCAATGGCCCCAGATGCCCTGACCAAAGCAAGCTGTCTGGCAGCTGGTGTGGGCTTGGGAAGGCTTGTCCTGGGGACCGGGCACCGTGGCTGCCATCCTGGTCTCACAGGCTCGGGGACCAGCATCCCAAACACCCCGTCCTCCACACATGCACCAGGTGGCCCTAGAGAGAGCAAGCTGAGGGCAAGACCCTTCCCCGGCAGAGGGCTTAGGGAAGACTTCACTTGAGGTGGGCGCACCACCAGCTCCCAGTCGGGACAGGGTGTCGGCTACCCTTCAGGCTCTACCCCCTCTCCCACGGGTGGGGGGGGGGGCATCCCCCACCCAGGGGCCACACCTGAAATTCCAAACTGATGGAGTCAGGCCTGCGCCAGGAGACTGAAACTGGCCCCATTTCATCACTTTTCCCAATAAGCTTAGAATCATGGAGACATCGAATGCCAGAGCAGGAAAGGAACCACAAATCTCATCCAGGCTAACCCCCTCATTTTACGGGCGAGGAAACTGAGGCGCAGAAATGGGTGTGGACATGCTCCAAGTTACAGTGAGACACCATAAGTCAAGGGAGAGGAGGCGGCATTAGACAAAGCACCTCTCCAGGGCCTCGGTTTCCTCATCTGTCACAAAATGACAGTTGTTGCTTTGGGAGGCAGAGTATTCTGTGCAGAAGGGCTGTGTAGACGCTGCCTCCTGGGATAGACAGGAACTCCCAGAGGGCAGGGAGGCCCTCCTCCTGTCTCACATCCCCAGGTCCTCGCGAGCCAGAGCTGGTGCTTAGTAAGTGCCCGCTGCTGGATGGACTGACTGATGGATGGACAGCCCATCTTCCTCCTCACTGGCCCTGCCTCTACCCACGACAGGGCCCAGCCAGGGTCTGCACCGGAGCCACCGGAACCTGTTTCAAATATAAATATTTAGATAACTGCATTTCTAAAGAAACGGTTCCTCCGTCGTCCTCCGGGTTTTAGCCAAGGCCCTTTTGAGAGGGGCCCAGCCACTCCCCTCGCCTGCCAAAGGCGCCCAGCACCCTGAAAGGCTCAGGCCTCCTCCTCCAGCCAGCTCCAGCCCACAAACCGTGCCCTGCTCTGCAGGCTATGGGACGCCAGTGATTCTGTTCTTGGTGGGGTTTCTCTGTTCCAGGCTCCCCCACCCTACATGCTTTGGAGCCCTATGGCCTGGTGGGTCTGTCCTCCTAGCCCATCCCCATCACAAAGCATGAGACTGGGGTTCCAATCCCACCTCAGACCATGAGCTGTGACCATCCTGGGCCTCAGTTTCCTTCTCTGATCCCATGAGCTTCTCTGCTGGGCCCGCTCCATCTTCTCAGGCTGGGCAGTGGGACCGCCTCTTTTGGCCTCAGTTTTCCCATCCCTAAAACGGGGCCAGCACCTGCTTCAAGGAGAGCACTTTGTAAACCTTGGGTCAGCTGAGCCGCCATTATCCGCCATTAGAATTCCCATCCTGGTCTCCTAGGTGTAATGCTCCATGCTCCCCGAAGTCACTCCAAAGTGTTCAGACAAGCCTGTGGAGTCCAGAGCTCCTCTAACACTCCACACCCGCTCCGCGCAGGTCATCCTTGGCCACCCCTGAAGCCCTCCCTCCAGCCTGGGACCTTCCAGCCTGCCCCAGCGCTCGCCTCCTTCCCTCTCGTCTCCCTCCAGGCCCGGCCTGGGAGTCTTTTTATAGAGCTCCACTGAGGATGCTTGGAGCCAAGGCTTCAATCACAGCCCACTGGGGCCCTGGCCTTCTGTGGGGTCTCCATGGGAGAGGCAGGGCTGGGCCTCCATGGGCAGAGCAGGCCTGGGTGTGGAGGCCCCCGAGCTGGGGGGCAGGGAGGCTCCCAGAGCAGCCTGCGGGGCTGGGCCGGTCCCTAAGCTCCCACCCTCGGCCGGCCGCGCCAGGAGCCGAGAGCAGCTGATGGCGGTGGCCCAAGGTCGGGTCCTTGAGCCGGGCCCTGGGTGCCTTCCAGAGCCCGGGGAGACGCTTGTCCAGAGGCAGCCAGTCAGCCACAATTACCCTAGAAGAGGCTCCCGGAGCTTGGACACCTCCCTGAGGACACGCGCGGCCTCTGCTGGTCCTGCCTGGCCCGTCTGGTTTCCATTTCTGCCACAACTTCCGGGAGCCCAGAAGCAGACACAAAATGGCGGCCAGGGAGAGGCGGACATTTTGTGGCCGGCTCAGGCAAAGCCGCTGGCTCACAGAGCTGGCCAAGGTCAAAGGCAGGACAGGATCGGAGTCTGCCTCTGGACAAGGGGGGCCTCTATACTCCCTGGTCAGGGTGAGCCTGCCCCTCCTCCCTCTCCCTGCGTCCGGTCTCCAAGGTACAGAATCCCAGAGTGGAAAGGGACCTTGGTGGGCAGCTCCGCTAACCCCAGTCTGACCAAGATCAGAGATCTCAGAGAAGGGAACTGAGGCCCAGAGATAGGACAAGACTGGTCCAAGGTAACAAGTGTACATAAAAAGGGACCAGGGCCAGATTTGAATTCAGGTCCTGAGACCACTAACTCAGGACCCCTTCCACCACACTGAGTGATCTCTCTACAATAGCCCCAGCTCATTTGCATTCAGCCAGCAGGCTAAGCCTTCCTTGGGTGGGGAACTCACTACCTCCCCAGGCAGCCCAGTGACAGGTACTCAACACCACCTGAGAACGCCTGTTCCCCTTAGGGCCACATGGAAGGGGCTCCTCCACATGCTGGTCCTTCAGATATGGCCAGAGAGGATTTCCTCACCGGGGCTCCCTGCCTGGATGGAATCCCAGGTGTTCTCCGGGGGGGCTAGCCTGGGCTCCTGGACACTGTCCATTCAGCCACCAGAGGGACTCCTCTAAAGCCCAAGTCTGGCCACGGCCTGCCCCCCCCCTCCCCCGCCACTCCAGGAGCTCCCCAGGGCCTCCAGGATCAAACAGAAAACTCGCCGTTTGGCTTTTAAAGAGCTCCAGAACCTGCCCCTTTTCCCCTTTGCAGTCTTCTGCCGTGTTAATCCCACCACGCACATGCTCAACACAGTCTACATGGTTTACACGGTCTACACGGTCTACATGCTCTACACGGTCTACACGGTCTATGCAATCTACACGGAGAGAGACAGTGTGTGTGTGTGTGTGTGTGTGTGTGGAGGTGTGTGTGTGAGAGAGAGAGAGAGAGAGAGACAGAGAGAGAGAGAGAGAGAGGTGAAGAAAGCCAAGGGAAGCCAAGAGTGGGGGGGGGGGGGGGGGGGGGGGGGAGGGGGGGGCAGGGGGGGAGAGAGAGAGGGGGGAAGAAAGCCAAGGGAAGCCAAGAGTGGGGGGGGGGGAGTGGGAGGAGTGTACCAGGCATGGGGCACAGTCTGTGCAAAGGTGTGCAGGTGGGAAATGGAAGGCCACGTCTAGGAGACTGCAAGGAGGCCACTTAAGCTGAAACAGAGATTCCAGCTGCAGTGCTGAGTCAAAAGACCTGGATTCCTAGGTCACTTCTGCCATTTATAATGGTGTTATCCATGCCCTGCTCTGACCTCAGTTTTCTCATCTACAAAATGGAGATACTGATCTTTCCTTCACTTCCCTCCCAGGGCTGTAATAAGGGAGCTTTTTATAAATGGTAAAGTGTCTAGAAATAGAGGAGGAGGAGGAGAGGAGGAGGAAGAAGGATGGGCAGCCTGCAGGAGTCCTTCCAGGTGCTTCAGTTCCTCCCGGAGGAAGCAGGACCTCCCTCCAGCCTCCAGCCTCCCACCTGAGTTCCCCTCTCCCCCAAGCCCTGGTACTCTCTAAGTACCACGTCCTCTCTACACCAGAGGAGAATCGCGGCCCCAGCCGCTGTTGTCAGAATGACGGGAGATCCTGGCTCTAAAGTGTTTTGCGGCCGTCCCAGGGCTCCCAAAATGCCCGCATTAGGATCGATGGTGATTGTGTCTGCCCAGTAATTTCAATCATGGCTTTTTCGGCTGGGGCAGGGTTTGGCCAGCCATTTTGCAAACAGGTTTGTTTTTCACCTATAAGCCTTAGGGAGGGTGCCTTGCAGAGGCTCACTTAGCTGGATGGGATGCTGTAAGAAGTCCAAGGTCCCTGAGGCCTGGGGAGGGGGAAGGAGAGGGGGATGAGGCAGACGGGTGACCTCACGGCCTCACCGCACAGCTCAGTCCCTGGGCACTGTCCAAGAAGGCCTGGGGAAAATGCATCTCTGGGACAACAGCCCATCAGAGCCCCGGGGGTGGGGGGTTCTGGGGGGCCCGTCAGGAGTCTCACATCAATGACACAGCTTCCATGATGCCGCCTCCAAGCCATCAGAGCAGAGAGCGCCCCGGACATGGAGACAGGAAGCCCTGGGTTTGAATCCAGCTTCCTCTCTCTGTGGGCTCCCTTCTAGCCCCACCCGGCCCGCTCACCCCGCTCAGGTTCCATGACTGTGCCTCCCCTTTCTTCCAGTGGCCTTCAGATCTGCACACAAGACCCAGGTGTGGCCCGACCAGGGCAGAGGCCTGGAAGAGGCTCTCCCCTCTCGGGCAGCCTAAGACTGCGCTGGGCTTTGGGCGGGCCAAGTCACACGGTGGCCCCAATAGGACATGAGCTCTGAGAGCACAGACTGTCGTGTCCAGGCCATGGTGTCTGGCATACAGCAGGAGATTAATAAATGCCTATTGAATGACTGACCAGTCGACTGGCGCAGTGTGAGTCTGCAGTCTGCTGAGCCGCCCAGGCCTTGTTCAAGGACCTGTGGTTGGGCTGTGCTTTCTGCACCCGGGGACAGACCTTGCACACTCCTGCCTACTGAACGTCACCCTGTTCCTTTCAGCCCATCATCCTGGCGGGCAGACATCCGCTGGGACCCCAAAGGCCCTCCTAGCCTCAGGGCTAGGCTGGGGCTCTTAAGGATGTCTTCAGATCTCATCCTACTCACAGACACAAAGATCTGCTCTGAAAACACGAGACTCCTGGGCAGAGCAGGTAAGCATTCCACTAGAGACCTCCCCTGCTGCTGACCACATAGACAGTGTCACAGGTGGCAAGGCGTGGTGCATGAGGTCACTGAGCACAGAGCCAAGTGACCCTGGCCTGTTCACATCCCATCTCTGAGACTCAGTTTCCTCGTCTTTCCATTTTGTCCATTCCAGACCGACTGCAAGGAAAGTCCTCTCTGTGCTTTAAAGCCCTAGAAAAATGGGGCTCCTCCCTGGCCTTCCTCCTGTCTCTGCCTCTATGCCCAGAACACTGGTTTGCACAGAAAGGGTGAAGGCCTTTGACAAAGGTGACTGAGCCACTGACTAGAACCGGGTACTAGCCGAGAACTCGGGGAGAAGCCGAGGCCCCGAGTGGAGCAGGGCCCCTGCCCGGGGCGTCTCCCCCCAAACCTGGTCGTCCATTGCTGGCACCTCCACCCCTGCAAGCTGGGCCTCAGACCCCGAGATCTCGGAGCCCAGAGCCCCGACAGCCAGGCTAGGGGCCCCTCTGGCAGCAGAGGGCTGGAAGCAGCCAGGAGGAAAACAGGGACCTATTTGTAGCCAGCCCTGGATGGGGGTGGGGGGGGCGGGGAGCTCTGCTCCTCTGTTCTCAATGTCTGAGGCAACTGCAGTGACTCGCTGAGAACAGAAGCCTGGGGTGGCTTTGGGGGAGGGCAGGGAAAATAGAAAGCCCTGGATTTCAAACCAGGCCTAGGAAGTTTCATGATTCAAGGCCTGGGAGCAGAGGGCCACACGAGACAGTAAGCAATCAGGGCCTGGGGAAAAAACACAGGCTGTCAGGGCTGGGGAGGTTGTGGGGGAAGGCTTAGAACAGGGAATGTCAGGGCTGGGAGGGATCTTACAACAGGGAAGGTCAGAGCCGGGAGGGGCCTTAGAAGATGGAGAGGGAGGGAGGGGCCTTACAACAGGGAAGGTCAGAGCTAGGAGGGGCCTTAGTACTCCAGGTGGCAGTGGTGAGAAAGACAGGAGAGCAGGGGTTCCCAGCCTGGCCCACAGGCTTCTGTGGATATATTTTAGGGTGTCTATGAATTTGCGTTTTATATACGCATGTACACATATGTACACACATGCATTCATGCATGTACATGTCTGTAGATAGCTAGCTCGCTGGGTCCATCTGCCTGGCTCTGTTCTAGGCGCTACACTGAACAACCTGATGGGGAGCCTGGCTCCAGCCCAGGCCTTGGCCTACTGCCTGCCCCAGAGGTCCCTGGTCATACACAGAGGTGAAGGACCCTCAGAGCCGGAGAGGACTCAGAAAGCCACTCCTCGCACTTCACTTTATACAGAAGGAAACTGAGGCCTTGAGCAGGGAAGACACAAAGTAAGCTAATGTCCCTGGCAGAACTCAAACCCAGGGCTTCCAAGGCCCCATGTCTGCCTTACCTGTGCCTGTGCAGCAAGAGGGTGACCCCCCAAGAAAGGTTGGCAGCTCGGGGGTGGGGGAGACATTCCCTGTTCTACGGCCCCTCCTCCTCTGACATTCCCTGTTCTAAGGCCCCTCCCAGCTCTGACATTCCATGTTCTATGGCCCCTCCTACCTCTGACCTTCCCTGTTCTAAGGCCCCTCTCAGTTCTCACATCCCCTGTTCTAAGGCCAAACATTCCCAGGTCTATGTGAGCTCAGGCAATCTCTTAATCTCAGCATCTCCACTTCTGTATGGATGTTAAAGTGGAAAGGATGCTGGAGAACCCTAGGTTCAACTGTCACCACGAGCAAGGCACAAATCTCTGAATCTCAGTTTACCCATCTGTAAGACGGGCATCATGATACCTTAGGAGCCAGGTTGCAGAATTGAGAGGCTCCAGGGCAGTACCTAGATAATGCTTAAAGTGTTACCCTGAGGCCAGCTATTATAATAGATGGTCAGCTGCCTTAATTGGCCTAGACTGAGATTGCTTGAGGCACCAGGGCTCCGTAAATGGGAGGAATTATCCAGGGGATCATAAAGATTTCCTGTCATCTTTCTGCGCTGCTATCGTAACTGTTCCAATACTTGAGAAAAGATCTTGAACTCATTAAGCATTTAGTAAGCACCCACTGTATGCCAGGCCCTGAGAATCCCAAGACAAGGGTGGAGGGAAAGAGGAGGAACCCAAAGGAGGCCGCTAACCCTAAAACTCAGCCCAGGCGGTCAGATACAAGACGCCTTTCCTCAGCCTGGAGGCTGTGGGAAAGGGGCACTTACTCCTCTAGCAGGAGAGAGGCAGAGAGTCAGAGAGCAGAGGGGAGAGCAGACACAGACACAGCCTCTCAGGCTGACTCCCTTCAGCTAGGCCCTCTGCCCTCTTCTGAAGGAGGACCACCGAAGGGGAGGGCAGTCCCCTGAGCGGCCCGGGAGAGGGAGGACTGAGATGGCCACACCGCAGACCGGCTCAGACAAGGCCGCCCCTTGCCGGGTGATGTTGGCCTCGGGGCCTAGGAAAGGTCCCCACTAGCTGCGGGGCTGCTCGAGATCCCCCACAAACATCCCAGTGTGCCAAAGAACACCTGCGCGTGCGCTACAGATCTGGAGTGGGCAGACATGTTCAGATATGGCCAACATATCGATTTGGTCTGCTTGCCTGCGGTGACTCATTCTAAGGTGGGTGACTACTGGTGAGTGGACTGCCCATTTGGGGCAGCTGCGTGGGGCAGTCGATAGAGCTCTGAGTGGGCAGTTGGGAAGATTTGAGATCAGGTCCTGCCTTGGACCCTTCCTGGCTTTGTGACTCTGGGAAAACCACCTAACCTCTCTGTGCCTCAGTTTCCTCCCACAGAGGTTTGGCCTCCAAGGTTTCATTCAGCTTGCCTCTCTCTTCTCCAGCCTGGGGGCCTTCAGGGGGTCCCCTGGGGCCCGGTCTCCAGGCTCCTGCCATCCTGGGTGTCCTCCTCCAGCCTTCCAGAGCTGACCGGCAGACTCCTGGGCTGCTGAGACCAGTGCTTCCTCCTCTGTCACACTGGGTCACCGGGTCAGTTGGTTTCCTAACTGTGGCTCTTGGCTACAAGAGCTGGTGCTCTGGGTAGGAGAGGGAGGAGGCATCTGCTTGGCATGGAAAAACAAAATGTATCAAGAAAATGTGAAGGGGCAGCTAGGTGGCGCAGTGGATCGAGCACCGGCCCTGAAGTCAGGAGGATCTGAGTTCCAATCCAGCCTCAGACTAAACACTTGACACTTACTAGCTGTGTGACCCTGGGCAAGTCACTTAACCCCAATTGCCTGAAAATAAAAAAATAAAAAATTTGAAAGAAAAATGGTGGGGAGCGCCTTGCTTTTTGCCTTTCTACCAGGGGCTGGCATGCAGTAGGTGCTCAATAAATGTGCGCTGATTGGCTGAGAATCCACTGATCTTTCTGAAGCAACTCGGGATGACGGGGACCATGCCAACAATCCCAGCCTCCTCAGGCTGAGGGGGCCTGGGGATCCCCCACTGCATCCCACTTCCTAAGCCACCCCCAGAACATGCAGGATGAGGACAAGGACCGCCTGCTTAATCCCAGCACTCAGTCTTGTTCAACTGCAGGCACCCCAGGACAGAGCAAACTTCTGAATGTGCTGCCAGAGGAGTGACTTTGACTCCTGCCTCTGGACACTTTAGGCAAAGCCCCTCCCCAGACCTAGGGTTCCTCACCAGTAAAACAAGAGAGGTGGGGACTAGATGTTCTGGAGGCCCCTTCCAGACTGAGGCCCAGGCTCCTGTGAGCCTAGAAACAAAGTGGCCAGCAAGCAGATGCTGGCGGTCACCCGCTGGGGATACTGCAGAGGGATTCTTGTCCAGGGACAGCTGAGTTTACTCTGAGGCCCCTTCCAACTGAAGGCATGCTGGGACGCCGGCTGAGCCGGCCCCCAAGCTCCCACTGCCCACTGCCCTGACCTGTTCTGAGGCAGCAAAGCCGAGCTCCATGGGAATCTGCCTGCCTGCGGAAGGGGGTCCCGGGACATGGGCCGTGGCCTCTGAGAGCATACTCACTCTGCACACTGCTGGACACAGCATCACCTGGTGGGTCACACATACTCAGATCTCCTGCCTTCACTCCAAGGAAGCAAAGCCCTCTCCCCGTTCTCACCCCACCTCTCTTCCTCCTTCCTTCCCTCCATCTCCCTCTGTTTCTCTCTCTTTCCATCTCCCTCTCTGTCTCTCTCTCTCCCTTCCTTCCCTCCATCTCCCTCTCTGTCTCTCTCTCTCCCTTCCTTCCC